AATGTATTTATGCTTGAAACAGAGGGTTACATTTATATCACTGAAACATATTCAACAAGAGGTTGGTGGCAAGGTGCCACCAGTTGCATAAAGGGACATTGAGCAACCCTATTCTAATACTACATATCATTCCTGGGCAGTTTACCTTATCATTAAACATTGTACCTTTTTAACTGGCAATTTTTATTTTATTTCTTTTTGCCCATGCACTTCCAACCTGGATAATACACTAAAGGGTAAGTATTTAGAAACATTTTCAAATGGAATGTCTGTTTTATATACTGTTATTTGTCCTGAAAGTAATCTCAGTAACGACAGAGATTTTTTGCTCTCATCCACTATGACTCTTTCAAGGGGATAAATATTTTCATCTTAATGGATTTCTTTTTCAAGACCTACAGTTGAAAACCATTCTTCACTTGCTCCTTGTCCCATTTTCCATTCACATTCTGCATTTGACAGTACAGCTATCTTTTTTTGTTTATGGATTTCTCTATTGCAGACCAAAGTTTGATACTCAGCTTTGTATAAGACAAGATAACATTGTAATTATTTTTTATTGTTGTTTACTAGGGGTTTATTTTTCTCTTATACTTTAAAATTACTGACTAATTTGCAAGCAGTCATAAGTGAAGATGATTGGTGTAACAAGCCTGAGATATCTGTGATCTCTCTTTCCAGGGAGGTGAAGGACACAAGCCAGGCTATGGAGGAAGTGGCAAATTCTATGAGCATAAATCTGCTCACAAGGGACATAAGGGATCATATCATGATGGCCAGGGGACTCTTTCCAAAATCTTTAAACTGGTAAAGCACAAGTAAACATGCAATAAACAAAAACTGTGTCCAGAAATAGAAAGAAAACATAAAATGGCTTAATCTGCCTAGTATTAGTGACATATTCAAATATGGGCTTTGGGATGTCTGTCCAGTTACAAAACTGATTTAGCCTAGCCAGGTTAGACTAACCTTCAAAGATTGGATCAATTTAGACACAGCCTTTTTGAATGTCTGTCTCTAGCCTAGAGGCCTGGTGAGCAGAGGCAGGTCTAGGAGCTATAGCTGTGAATTGCCGCTAGAGGGGTGGTGAGTCAGGACAGGTTTCTATCTCTGCTGTACAGGCAGGGGTGTGAGAGATCCTGGAATACTGGAGGACTTCATATTGGGTGGCACGTCTGTGGGGAGTGGCCACACCTAAATGCAACAGGAGCTGGGTCGTGTAAATCAGATATAATCCTGCCCTGGAAAGACATACCTTTGAGCCACATGAGTTCTTAAAACCACTTAAAGGTGTTAATATGTGGACAATCCAGCGGGTAAGAGCTCCAGGAGCTCCCCGAAATTACTATGTAACAAGGTCCTATTTGATATCTAGTGACAGATACAGTAAAACTTACCTTAGAATTCATCCCATGGATCAATAAAATTTGCTTCACTGGTGAAAGTTGGTCTTAACTACATCATAGGGGAGATGTAGTAGGAAACTATATATTGGTCAATTTGTTTTGTGAAAATATTAGAAATGTGGGTAAAATATTTCCACCATTTCTCATTAGAGACAGACTTCTCTACTACAAAGAGACACAAATTAAAAAGAGGAGGTATTCTGCAAGTATAGAACAAACCTGTGTTTAATGTTTTGTATTCCAAATTCACAACTCAAGTACAAATAGAAATGTACTGATTTCTTGACTGGGTTGTTTAAGAAAAAGTTAGATGTCAGAAAATGTATTAGCTAACTAATTAGCTAAGAATAATATAAGCACTTGAAAATGTTTCCACAAATTTTTACAGTAGCTTCTGCAACAGTTAAAGAAATTACTTTAATGCAAAATGCAGCCAGAGAAACATATGTTAAATAACTTGAAACATATGAATTATATTTCATAATTGGATTTGCTAAAATACACAAATCTAGACATGTTCCATCAACATTGCTGTAATAGATGGTTGATTTTCCCTATCAGATCAACCAGCAATATGCTATACCTGTGGTTGTTTTACCAGGCTTATAGTAACAAATCTGTTGTTTTGTAATTATATTCTACAAAAGAAAGGCTTTCTAAAATATTGGTAAAGTTTATCCATTCTGCACAGTTGGTACATTTCATATTCTGCTTTGCTTCAATTTAAGCAATCTTGTTTTATGGTAATAAGCATATATCAGGATTTTTAAAATTATTACCAAGATTGTGACCCCATACATTTCCTGCTCTACCTTTCTAATGGTCATTGGAAGCCATTTTAACTTGTAGTAAACTTATTGTATTGAGAGTTGAACAATAAAAAGAACAACAAAGTATTACCATTTTTCAAAACTTCCCTTGTCTATTTCCTTGCACATTTTATTCAGTCTTAATATAAGACCTTATATAATTAATTTCAGGCCATGACTTGGCTGGCTAAATCACAGTCTCAGCTGATCAAAACTTAAGGCCTGAATTTTGTCCTCTGTTATTTTCCTACTCCAAGGGCACAGTGCATTTAGGATTTTTTCTAAAGTAATTTGCAATTGAGCCCAATTGCCTCAACCACATCCCACAGTTATTCATGTTAAAGTGGCATAATTTGTTTACTAAGTTATAACTGTGTGCAAATTAGTAGATTAGTTTAAGATTTTGTTACTCCTATTTGGAAATTTTTTGTATTCTTTGTTGTTATTTTCTAATTATATTTTGAAAAGCCAGATTTTTCAGCTTGAGCTGAATTTTTACCTTGATTTTGCAAGTATCAACATATGAGCTTGCCACTATAAAAAGACTAATCACTGCAATGTTAACATATGGCCCCTGGGAATGTTTACCACGTATGTAAATGTTCATACTTCAGGACTCATTGATTTTAGGTTACTCATAGTATCCGCGCACGTGTTATAATTTTTAAAAAGCGTGCATACCTGCAAATTGCAGGAACAGCCATAGACAGTTTGCTTTTGTTACTATTCTTACCAGTGATCTCAATTTCTGTGATACGTCCAGGAAAATAAATGAATGTAAGCCTTATTTAAGCCTTTAAAACTTATTTAAGGACCCCAGACACTGGAAATGAATTATTCCATCAGTCTGTGTAAGAGGTGCTTAATCAGAACCAATTCACTGAACCTGAAAAGTCAATTGTGAAAAGTGACTGTACTTTTGAAACAACAATGGAAGTTCATATACTTAATGAATGTAATGGTTCAATACTTTGAGAGTCATCCAAATTATGTAATGAAACATAATCACTAAAAGCAATATGTTATATATTATTTTGATATATTAACAATTTAAGACTATAACCTGAGCTTTCATAATTTTTATATATACACACTAAAAAGTATAATATTTTTCTAGTAAAATTGATTTTATATTTCATTCCACAGGGAGGATCTGGCTCCCGACCTGGATCACGATCCGGTTCACCAGTTGCTAGACGCTGAAGTTCCACGATGCCACCCAAGGATCAAATACACTGCTTTATAATATTACTGCCTTTAAATTTAATATTAATTTGCAAGAATTATCTAGATGGATACAATCCATTACTTAATGTCATTTGAGTTGTGCATGCAGTAGGATCCTACAAACTTCTATTGGCAATCCCTGCCCAACAGTTGAATGAAAGGAATATGCAACATAGCTTTACTAGATGTTTTCATTTTTTTTAATAGCTGGATGCCTAATTTTATTCATTCTTCTTGAGGATGTCCTAATTGTATGTTGGACTTAATTTATTTTTTCAAGCACCTAATTTAGTCTCAACAAGTCTTATTTCTTGTTAACTGAGCAACAAAATGACGTATGCATAGATAGCAATTATCTTGGGTTTTGGGCACTGCCATTAAGAATTTCTGAAACACTGCTGTAAAATCATGTGCAGAAGTTGTAAGGACTGTTAATCCAAACACTTTTTGTTTGTTTGGGTTTATTTTTGTTTGTTTTAATCTCCCTTCTCTCACTCACAGAATATTTTACTTTTCATAACAGGATTAGGCAGTCATAGAAAGGTTTAAAAACATGGGAGTACAAGGTATGTGAAATGTGGGAGAGGGCAGCTGTTAGAGTAACAATGAGATGCAGAGCAATAGTAATAAGGAAATTATTTCTCTATTACAAATTGTTCACCATACCCATACCATTAGAATTAAGAGTGGACGAGAGAGAGAAAGAGGGATTTCAAACTTGGGTTAGACTAACGTCTTACAACAAGAAACAAGGGATATTCCCAGAGAAGAAACATCTATAAGATTGCACATGTGACTACTGGATGTCACTGTTGCTCCACACAAACACTGCTGCAACAGCCTTTATTAGATGTAGGAAAAAAAGTCTAATTTCTGAAAGAAAGCAAGCCCTTAAGCACTGAGATTTCAGATAGTCCTGCACATCTCAAGTTAGAATTTACAGTTGCTGTTACTGCAGCAGTGTTAGAATTGTTAAGCATAATCTTCCAGCTAAATAAGAACAGTTAAATGCCTATAATGGCAGTGCACTAAAGCAAATTAATAGTAAACAACTATGAACATTTAACTGTTGTATTGTAGTTGCCTTATAGAAATAAATTAACTAATGGATTAGATTTAGCCATTAATTGTTCACAAATCTACTAAAAGGTACACATGTGGCAACGGTATTTCCAACCGCATGAAGAAAGAAAAAGCTCTTCTGAATTGCACTGTTTTTTTAACTTGAACGTACTATTCCTCCCTACATACCCTTCTTTACTGATTAAATGCTTTTATTTTAGTCTATATGTTGTAGATTCTACATTTAGAGCTTCCTAGGTTGACATCCAGTTTCAGCTATGGTAATGAATATCAGTAGTAGCCTATGTTAATGAGACCTGACAAATACTGCATGATGTTAATTCTATTTCATTTCTGTAGGCTTAAAACAATGTCCATTAATATGCAGCAATGAAAGATGAAAGGATAGGAAAACACAAACAGAATAAAACAAAAACACCACCAAAATTGTTAAGCACACACACCTATTACAACTTCTTTGAGCTAGATTGTTGGCTATGTGTATTTTTCTATATGTAGCTTTACTTAGATGTACGCTCCGCAACATAATAGTCAATTTCATTTAAATGTGCACTTTTAAGTGTAAGAACATGGCTTTTTAAAAACATTCATTGGTCAAATAAAATAATCACTTGTAATGAAATTTGTACCAGTTATTTCTTGAGGTTTATAAAATGCTGTATGCATGTTCTGCCTCGTTCAATATAACAAGAGCAGAAAGGAGTACCATTTCTGAATGAATGGTGTGAAAACAGACTGGTTTTTAAGGCAGCCTTCAAAGGTATTTGTAGGAAAAAATATTTATGGTCAAGTTCAAAGGAGAAACTTTTGTTCCAAAATGTTGCTTTATAGAAATATGGCATTCAAACAAGGTCCTCAACCCTTTTCCCTCCCCTAGAAAGTCTTTATCAAAGGCTAGCTATTTTTCTTTCCTCTGAAAATGGTACCATCATGTCATTGCTATAAGTCTAGAAAAATATTTTTCCTCATTGTTTCACAGGATTGTGCCTTGTAGGCTTGACAGTGAAATGTACTTTATCTCTGGGCTAGGATTGTTAATCCAAGTACAACACCATTTCTCATAACTATTGCTCTGCCCTTTAGCAGTCTGCTCTGAGTTGCTTAGCAAAGAAAGTGACTCAGAAATATAGCGTTGACTGGAAGACTGTAGTGGTTTTGTGCCGTTAATGGCAATATGAGAGGTGCTGTACCTGTTCCTGTAAATCTGGCCCTGCATCTTAAATTGAAAAAAATGTGTCCATGGTTTTCCCAAACCAAAAAGGGACCCTAAGGCAGGTAAACAATCTGATCATTAGGAAAAGCCCTAGTGATCAGCTGACATTTCCTAGGATCTTTTGTCTATGGAATTGGATTAAATGTTTAGTTTGTTAAAAAAGTGTAAGTACTAACCTTATGATTAAAATATCTAGGTGCTGCAACTAGTGGGTAGGAATGAGAAATGCTGCTGATGGGCAATACAGAATTCAGACCATGGGCATGTGCAATTTACAACACAGTAGCATAACTAGCAGGGTACCAGCTCCGGGTGCTGACTTAGAGGGTATTCCAGTATGGCTCCTTCCCCCCAAAAGTCTTTGCCACAGCAGGAACAGCCCTGTGAAATCTGGCCATAGGAGTTCGGCAGGTGCAACCCCATGCCCAATAGTGTATCTACAGGGGGAGGGAGGATGGGGAATGATATCCCTGCACAGAAGGCTGCCATGGAAGGTACAGCTCTGTGCCAGGGGAGGGGATGAAGAGAGCACCAGCTCCTGAGAAGCCCATACTGCTATCCCCTAGCAGCAGCATCCTGAGCCTGCACAGCTACATCAGCAGCTGCAGCAGTAAGCAGCTGCCATCCACAAAATAAGAGCTGGGACAGGTAAGACTCGTTTCCTCCTCCCCTTCCCTCCAGTGGTCAGCATAATTCCTTCCCGGCCCTCTCCCCCACCTCTATGCTAGGTACTGAAAGAGCTTGCTACACCTTGGTTACATCCTAGATTGCTTTTCCTCTACGCTAGGTACTGAAAGAGCTTGCTACACCTTGGTTACATCCTAGATTGCTTTTTCTCTTTGTGCATGCGTGCATACACTTTGGTGTTTCTTATATATTAGGCAAAGAGAGAGACTGGTCATTATGACAAACATTCCTGCATTCTAGCTACTGATAGCACAACAAGTCATACTATTAGCCAGGGTAATAGGGATACAACATTCTTGCATATCACTGACTACTACAGATGAGTTTTTAATTTGTTGGTAATTAAGAATTTCCACTCATAATAAAGGTTATAGATTGTTAACCTCATGATTTCCTTTTTTCAGAACTGGTCTCTCCTCCAGTTTAAGGCGTTTAAAGCTGCACTGCTCTCTCTCAAAATACCCACTGTATTCTTCATGACAGATATGCTTTTTTTTTTTTTTTTTTTTAATGTGTGCAAACGCTGATTTTTCATTGGTAGACTTATTCATAAGGAACTATAATAACTTCTACTGATGTACCTGCAACATTTCTTCTAGCATGCTTCTAACATGAATTGACCTTTTATCAATCAATTATAAAATGAAGCCTCAAATATATAATATAACCCGTTGATGTGTCATCTGTTTTAACTATACACATACACCCTTAAGGGGCTATCACTGATAATGAGAAAATAGATCTCAGGTGGGGAGGAGCTGGACTGGGGAACAAGGCTAGTCTCAAAAAAAGGAAGGCATTAAGTAACAAATGTTTCATTCTTCATCAGTGCTTCTTCAGACAGTCATTCAGAATTAATTATAATACAGGGGACATTTAGAAAAAAATAAACAGAAAAATAATGTTAATACTACTTCTGGTACCTTCCAGGAAAAGATCTTCTATGGAGGAAACAGCAAGTTCTTGAAGTTAGACCACTAAATTGGAAATCTAGAAACCTGGGTTTGATTTTTAGCTCTGCCACTTTCATTCTGGGTGGGCTTGAGCAGATAATTCTCCCTCTGTGCCTCAGTTTGCCCATCTGTAAAATGGAGACAATGATGCTCATCTCCTTTGTAACAAACTCTGGTGTACCAATGAAGAGTGCTACAGAAGAGGTATATGGCATTTATTACCAAGTCAAATTTGTAGGGCATTCTAAATTATTACCTGGTAACAACTGAAATACTTCCTCTATGGTACCTGACCTGTTAACCATTCAAAAGATCTCAGCTCGATTCTGATCCAAATTTTGAACACTCTTGTTTTCTAACCAGCACTAGCTTAGCAAGATATATTTCCCTGCACTGAGCTCCATGCTGCCACACCTAGCTAGTTCACATACCACTACTCCACATAGCACTCACTGCAATGTAGACATACTTTTCATAAAATTATAGAAAAGTGGAGCTGGAAGATGCCTCACAAGGTCATCCAGTCCAACCCCCTCCCCTGCTCAAGGCAGGATCACCTCTAACTAAACTCCCCTCCCCTCCCACACCATGTGTATATAAGCCCACTGTGTTTTTGGCAGGAGGAAACATGAGACGTTAAGTGGGCAATTGCCTTAAAGGCATCAATCACTACCTAACTGAACTGGGACCCACAATACAATGGTGCTTTAGTGTCCATTACAGAAATGCTTCCAAAGATAATGCCAGTACCTATTAGCACACCACACTCACACAGGGGACGGGAGGAAAGGGATCGTAGGGGGCAGTCCCCAACACAGCATGCAGTTCTAACATAGACCCTAACTAAAATTTCACAGGCGGGTCAGGAAAGGGGGGCTGCGGTTCAACCACCCAGTGAGCCAGTGAGGTTTCACTGGGAGTGCTCTGGCTCCTTGCCTATCATCCCTTATTGCCCAACACCTCCTTGCCCAACCATAGCAGTGGGCTGCCACTTACCATCTCCAGAAGCAGTATTTGTTTGGTCATAGGCTAGTCTTCTGGGACACCAGGTTCCTGTTGGGAGAGGAATGACAACAGGGATGCTGAAAAAGAGGGGAGAACACAGAACTTGAGGTGCTTATTGTCTGAGACTGGATACACTTCGGAGTCCATGTGGCTCAGCTGGATGCCCAGTGAGTCTGGATGGCTTGGCAGGATGGCGCAGCATGGCTGTGCTGGCCTGTAAGGGCTGTACGTCTTTGCCCACAGCTGGATTGGAGTTCTCACCGCCCTCCTGGGCAGTGAGAACCACCATGCCCATATAATTGGATATGACCATGTTATAGATCACGAAGAGGCAGGATAGTTCCTCGTGATGGGAATGATACCCCATATTCGTCCAAGACACAGTTGCTATCCTGTTTCCTTGCAAACTGCTGCCTCAATTCCTTGCACTTATCATAGAATCATAGAAATTTATGGCTGGAAGGGGCTTTGAAAGATCAAATTCAACCCTCCTGCTCTGGGCATGGATACTGCTGAGATCAAATGATCCCAGCAAGGTTTCTGTCCAGTCTCCTCTTGAAGACTTCCAAGGCTGGGGACTGCACCACCTTCTTGGGAAGTCTATTTCAGATTCTGGCAAACCTTACTGTAAAGTTCTTCCTTACATCCAACCTGAAACCATCTTCTAACAGTTTATGGCCATTACTCCTGATCCTTCCCTGGGGCACCCTAGTGAACTGTTTAACTCC